TACATGTGAATTTTTTAAATTTTTCTGGAAAGATATTGGCTCCTTTATTACAAGAGCAATAAATAATTCAAATGAAAAACTTCAATTCTCAGACTCAAATAAATTAGGTATCATTACTTGTATCCCAAAAGCAGGAAAGCCTAAACAATTTCTGAAAAATTGGCGACCCATTAGTCTTTTAAATGTTTTTTATAAAATAGCATCAGGGTGCATTGCGGAACGATTGAAAACTAAACTGGGCAAATTGATTAACAGAGACCAAACAGGATTTTTAAAAGGTAGATTTATTGGAGAGAATATTAGACTGATATATGATATAATGAATTATACGGAATATAATCAAATACCTGGCCTCTTGAAGTTAATTGACTTTGAAAAGGCCTTTGATACAATCTCGTGGAATTTTATATATCAAACCCTTGACTTTTTTTTAATTTTGGACCCTCTTTTAAAAACTGGATTTGAACCTTCTATAATGGTATTAAATCATGTGTTATACAAAATGGATTTACTTCGGACTATCTTTTCCCCCAAAGAGGATGTAGACAAGGTGATCCAATCTCACTGTATCTCTTTTTGTTATGTGCGGAAATTCTTGGAATCTTAATTCGAAATAATCAAGATATAAAGGGTATAACAATTGAGGGTGAAGAGTACAAACTCTCCCAATATGCTGATGATACTTCTCTTATCTCAGATGGTTCACCAAGATCCATGGATGGTATTCTCCGAGAATTAGATTACTTTGCTAATATTTCAGGCTTAAAGATAAATTTCCTTAAAACTAAAATGATATGGATTGGAAGTAAAAAATTTTCAAGAGATGTATTTCATCACTCAAGATGGAAGCTTGATTGGGAAAATTCAATATTTGATCTTCTAGGAATAAAATTTTCAGTAAACCTGGATGAAATGCTCGATCTTAATTATTCCATAAAGCTAAATGAAATCAAAACTTTGTTACGTAAGTGGAGTTTGAGGAAACTTACCCCAATCGGAAGGTTAACAGTAATCAAAACTTTAATATTACCCAAACTAAACCATTTAATTCTTACTTTACCAAACCCTAAGTAAGATTTTTTGAAGATGTTTGAGACTGAAATGTATTATTTTCTATGGGGTAGCAAAATTCATAAGGTAAAGAAAAATGTTATAATCCAGGATTACAAATATGGAGGTCTAAAAATGATTGATTATACGGAATTCATTTCTGCCCTAAAATCAAGTTGGATCAGAAGACTTATTCACTCACATGCAAACTGGGTAAAACTATTTGAAGCTGAACTAAAAGTAGATATAAACAATCTTTGGATAAGGGGTTCTGATAACATTCTGAATCTCTCAACAAGAATAAATAATGTTTTTTGGAAAGAAGTTCTGTCAAGCTGGGCAAGGCTAACTAAGATAAATCAAGAGAATGACAGGCATATGCTCTTTGAACATATATGGAATAATCCAAGGATTAAAATTAATAATAAATCTTTCTTTTGGAAAAACTATTTTAATGAAGGCATTGTTTTTCTTATTGACCTCTTTGACAATGATGGTAGTTTCATAAGTCTCGACTCATTAATAAACTTGAAAGTGAAAACAAATTTTGTTGATTATAATGGACTTAGAATAGCAGTGTTAGATAGACTAAAAAATATAAACAGTGACGAAATTAAAAACACTAAGTTGATTGGACCACATATTCCAAATTCCATTTTTATATTTTATAAACATGATAAAGGTTGTAAGGATATGTATAACATATTTATAAGTAAAAAGAAAGAGATAGTTAACTCAATTAAAAAATGGAGAGAAAACAGAGTTTTCTTCGGTGAAGCAAACTGGTATAAAATATTTCAACTTCCTTTTATAATAACACAAGAATCTAAACTTCAATGGTTACAGTTTCAAATATTACACAGAATCATCCCAACTAACTATTATCTTTTTAGACTAAAATTGATTCTCCAGCATGTAGTTTCTGCAGAAGTGACATAGAAACAATTGATCATTTATTTGTTGAATGTTTCCATGTAAAAGAACTTTGGTGCACTATTGAAGAATGGATTTTAAATAAGTTTAATATTCATTGTTGTTTTGACAGACAAGCAATACTATTTGGTAAATATGAAAATATGAATATTTATAGATTTCAAAACCTTTTAATACTTATTGTAAAACAATGTATTTTCGCTAGTAAATATAAGAATGTTCCAAAAATAGATGCTAATGCTATATTGAGGATTATCGATAGAATTTTTATTGAAAAATGTATACTGATGAAGAATTGTAGATATGAAGAATATGAAAGGCATTGGCAAAATATTTGTGATGCATTGTAAGCAATAGAGTTACATACATGTATACATAGAGGATATCTATATTGTGTGATTTGATATTGGCTTTATCCAACGAGTTGAAATGTGTATATATTCGCGAGGCTTGCCGAGCGAATATACACCATTTCAACGAGTTGGATAAAGCCAATATCAAATCACACAATTATAGATGTTCTATTTATCTCATACGACTTTCGTTTTAACAAAACTTGGAGACTTCCCCTGCGAAACTAAATGAATGACTGCCCAAATCAAATTGATGACGTATAACTTGATGACGTAGCACCGTTGATGTTTACATGCGTCGAGAGAAAGTAGATCGAGTTCAAAATTTAGAATATTTGCTGTATATGTGTCTTTGAAATCATCATGTGACAATTGCTGGAGCTTCACATCAAATGAACTTCTGACTGAAAGTTGTTAGGACTATGGGGATCGTGAAAATCAACTCTTTTTACGATGGCAGTACAAATCGTGCTAGGCAAGGCTAAGACTTTGTCTAGATTGTTTGCTGATCCATGGTAAGTTACACCTACATTACTAGGTAGGCATACGAAGTATAATATAAGAAAGCATTGTTAAAGGTGTCAAAGGAGTCTTATAACAGCAACTTAACTGGTAGGCTTTACTTTCTCCGAAAACGATTTCAGGGGGGGGGGTTAACATCTGTCTTCAAATAGCCAACGGGTTCCTTGATAAAATAAGACACTTCTTTGACATATACCAGTCTTTTTCTTGCTTTTAACGATATTACTACCCATTATCATTCATTTTATAAGGGCAACAATTTTCACAAATAAAAGTTTCAATAAAATAAAATCTTGAAGCGAGGGATCGTGTCAAAACCGGAAGTGCTATTGATAAAGCATCTACCCGTTGATAAAGCATAAGTTTATCCAACGGCCTGTATCACCAACACGTATGAGATAAATGTATATACACCATATAACTTATTTGAAGTGATTTTATATATTCTTTGTGTTATTATCTGTAATAGAAGAATTGTTTTTTCTTGCTGACCCCCCCCCCCTTTTTTTTTTTCTTTTCTCTTAAAAACAACTTTCACATTTTATAAGTATAATTATGTATTGCGTGTAGATCTGATGTAAGTGTATACAACAAGATGATGAAATTACCATAAATGTACATGTGAAAGTGCTATATCAAAAAAAAAAATGATTCACAAACATAATAACTGAAAATAAACATAATGAACGTCTTGAATGATTATAATATTTATGTTAGAAAAATATTTTTTCTAAAAAAAAATTGTTCATTAATTACACAAACCCAGTTGTTTGGTATTTATATAGAAATAATTATGGAAACATATTTTCGGATAATTGCTAGGGTGGTGCTCAGTTTGAAACAAGAAAACACAATTGTTGAGGAATTGGAATTGTCAATTATTTAACAAATTAATGACAAAGTATTATGCAAAGAAAAACATAAAAACAGAAAAAAATACAACAAACTAAAAACACAACACCATAATTCAATAGAGGAAGTTATGGCTTGTTAAACATTACAAAAATGCCACAACCCTAAAAATTAGAATATAAAAATGTCATACGTCATACACTAGAATGTCACTGAAACTCGATTTTATGCATGCTTTAAAAATGACATATCCCACTGTATACTAAAAAGAAACAGTGGGATGTCATTTTTAGAGCGTGCATAAAATCGAATTTCCGTGACATTCTAGTGTATATGAAGCAGAAAGGTTTACAAAAAACTAAGAATTAACACTGCACACTGAAAGAGATGTTACGAGTATAGTTCGAATTTCCTCGACAATACATTATATAGAAAAATACAGTATCTTTGACCGCGGAATCTCAATTTCTGTTTAATCTGCGGGTAGAAAATTACGCGGATATTCTAGATTATTATACCTCTACTGATTTTTCACTATATAAAAGTAAATCGATATATTTTGCTGATTTCCTGAAAATCACCGTGAATAAACCGATTCCCTGCAAAACAGACTGATTCCTTGCAAAAAAAGTACGTTTTTTTATGAACTGATGCACACCTATTCGGAACACTTAGCATTTTCTTTCCACTTACGACAAACTTAGAAATGTTCCGAATAAACTCATGAATATTCATTAATTAATCGAAATGCATCGAGTCAACTGGTCCCATATCAATCAAAAAGAACCAGTTTACTGGTAGCAAATGACAACAGAAATGGCGAGCTCAAGATTTACGTAATGTTACTTTCGATTTTACTAAGTAAAAACTCGGACAATGAACTGATTTATTGATAAAATGGAATTCTATTCAAGTTTGTATTCTGTTTTGTTGTTATTTTTTAAATATTCCTTTTGGAATTAAACATTGTTACAGAATACAGTATTGAATATAACTTAATTTTTCAAATGTTTGTATCGGTATAATAGAACAGTTAAAGTATATCATTGCGGGAGTCATCAAGATTCCAGTTCCCCTCGAGCAAACCTATTTCAGTCGGCGCAAGCGCCTCGGGAAATAGACTTGCTCTTGGGGAACTGGAATCTTGCTGACTCCCTCAATGATATACTTTAACTGTATACTGTCACTATATTCCTTACATTTATATTAATTTCCGCTGATTATTTATGACCGCGTACACAGCGTAAGTTAATAGCACGCGGAAAAAAAATACTTCTACAGTATTCTGAAGTTTCTTTTTCTTTTCTTTTCTTTTTTTTATGTTATTCGGTATTCAATCAAGAAAACTGAAAATAAAAATCACGGCAAATTTACTTACAAAAATGGTAGGTAGTTCGACTGTGTCGATCAGAATTTCTTCTGTTTTCAGTTATAAATATGTTCGACCATACCATTTATGTAACGAATTAAGGATTTCAATAAAAGTGTGTGCATGTATTCTTTGGTAATCATAATGAATAGTGATTCAGTTGCGAATTTGATCGCGAAAATACCGCGAAATTTTAGTGCTTCGCGTAAACTCTGCAACACAGTAAAATTTCAAAGGATGGTGAATCCTGCCCATCCAATATATTTTTAAAATCATAATCTTAGAATCGAAGTGAGACCATTAATATAAAACATTATATCAATATAAAATTTGCTTTATAAAGAAGACAATAATTCTAAACACTGCATTCTTGTAGTTCACTAGTTCCATGAGCCGGTATCCCAGAGTTCTTCCATTTTCTGACGTATGGCTGTCTTTTACAAAAAATTAAGAAAATTATTCATATTGTTTTCTTAATGTCAATAAAAAATGAATTATTAAATTCGTTATCATTTGTCTTAAATGATGATTGGTATAATTTAGGGAATTATTTTCATAATAATGTGAAATTTAAAAGGGTTTTCACGTAGCATTACAAATATGTTCGTGTGTGTGTTTTTGAAAATACAATATACTGATTGCTCTTCTTGTAAACGACGTGTATTTATTAGAAAAAAATGTTATTTAAATCCAGTGTCATGTAAGAAAATGACGATCTAAATAAAGAGTGCACAACGAACTTTATGTATTTTTAAAGATAAATTAGAAATGAAGACAAAATTTTGAACTCCTTTTTCTTTCAAACACGTTTAGATAACAAATGGCATCGACATAAGAACTAGATTTTCTCAGTTTATATCCAAGCAAAAGGTCTCAAATGATTGAATACATACCTTTCCTTCTTATTGCAAGGAACTTTGTAACACAACCTACAAAGAACTTGCTAATTAGTTTTCTAACATGTTTGAGTCCTAAAATAAAAAGATTTATTCAAATCTCAGGTATGCGAGTTTTTTGTAAAAATCAATTAACCTACCAGTTATTCAGAAGGAAGTATGTCAGCAGTATAATACATACACAGGTAAGCAAGGTCCAAAGAACAATCTTTGGTACATCTATTCTGTCATGTATCTGACCTGTAGAAAGATTGCTTTTAATCTCAATTAAAAAAAGCTGAGGACAGAAAACCTCAAAAAGTTCGAAATATACATGTATATACATAATAACTTTAATACAACACATTATATTTACGTTTTGAACAATTACCTCCAAAATAACTGTCTTTACTTGTCAGACAAGTCCCGTTGCTTATATCGCAGGTTTCACAGTTAGGACGACACTCATACTGACAAAATTGACCATATCTGGACTGCTGACATCTAGTACATTTCTGAGTCAGAGAGTTACACTCAGAGCATGCTGAGGAACAATTCCTACATGTACAATATTCTGAAATATCAGAAATGAATATAAAGATACCCTCGAATCATGAGTTTTCGTTGCATTACGGTTAATTTGTAATAAAGTGCTTCAAGACTGAATAATTGAGATGGTTGCTATTTATCATATACCGTATATCCGGGTTTTTTCGCGTGTTGGAAATTTTGCGAAGAAGGGGTAGATTAGTACAGTTTTTATTTTGCGTAAGTTTTTTTTACGATTGAAGATTTTTTTGTTTAAAATGGTAATGTTTTTATATCACAATTTAGCTGATATAATTTCTGCGTATTTTATATTTTGCGAATTAGGAATGGTCGCAAAAAATGCGAAAAATAGATCACCGCGAAAAAAAAACCGGATATACGGTATACAAACAATAATTCTCCTTATTTTAAAATTTTAACTCACATATCATATGTTTTTTGTTCAGTAAGTCATTGAATTCTTGCATGATTGCTCTTTCGATTTTTTTGCTGACGTCATATGTTTTCGTTGTATTTATAAAACAAGTAAACTATGGAAATCTAGTCGGGAAATATCCTTATGAATATTACAGTGTCAAAAATACTAGTTAATTGACAAAATGATTACATTATTTGACATGGAAATTTATTTGTTGTTAATTAAGACCACATCTAACTAGGCGAGCCTAAGCTGTATTGCTTAATTAATGTAAAAAATTTCTCTTTCTCAAGAGTGGCCTAGAAGTAATTTTGTAAGGCTTTATTTGAATGTTTCATATTCTAAAATATAAATTCCATGTATATTTAAAGAAATTAAATGTTTAATTCAATTAATTATCAATGGCACAATATTTTTTGTCATATATTTTTTTTAACACCCCCGATATTTTCTTTGAAAATTATATAAAAAATGACGTTACTAGATCACCGTAGAAAAAATATCAAAAGTGGAAATTCGAAATTATTGTCACATGACCAGTAGCTGTATGGATAGTTAACAGACGATGATATGCAGGATCGCCCGCTATCAGTTTGTAAGTTTGGTATTCTAGTTCAAAACACGACGAATAAGCGTATACATGTATTACGCAAATTGTCAAATCTGCAAACTATGCATAACTCACTCGCTATATTTTATTTTAGCAAAGGCAAAAAAGGTTTAACATTTGGTCATAAAACATGCACAGGGTTCCCCTTTATTAATAGCAAATATGACACCATTTCGATCTCGCATTGTGCGATTATTCCTTAAAATAAAAAATAGCACGAAAACGTATATACCACGAAAACACATGACGGGACGGTATAAGATCAAATCTGCGTTTTAGCCCTGTCGGATTTATTTCTGTTTGTGTCAAAGTTCTCGGCTTAGAGCCATATTTTAACTTTAAATATATATTTTTTTAAATTTCGATTTTAATTTGATTTTAATTTGGACAGCATGAGAGATCAATATGTTTTCGTTTGTTTTTCCACGATAACGTAATAGAAATGAGAGATTGTTTACATGTACTACATGTATTATTTCTTAAAATTTAGGATTGGTCGGGAAATAAAGAAATAATTCTTAAAAACAACTTGAATTTTCTTGAATTTCTGATATCAAAAACTTAATTGAATGTAAAATTAAAGCTGTCGGGATTTGGATTTCACTTGAAATTTTACCGTATTTTGTCTTTTCTTTCTTGTTTCTAGATTTAAATTGGTCTTTTCATTCTTGTTTCTAAATCTAAATTCATTCCTTTTTGGTGAAATAAGAGAAAATTATTCATTTTATGGGTTTTCTATGTTCATCAAGTTTTATAATAAGATAACTATATAATTATGCCTCCGGATCGAAAGATCCCAGGAGTATATTGTTTTGTCCTGTGTGTCCATTTGTCTTTTGTATCAAGGATAGCTTTGATATTTGACATCAGTGGTCATTATGACAAGACCTTTCCATTGGTATAGAATTTTTTTAATCATGTGACCTCAAATGTGACCCTTGACCTACATATAAAAAACTTTAACATTGGCAATAACTATGATAATAAACCATATAGTGTGTCACAAACACATTTTGTTATATCAATATATTAAAGTATAGATTTAGGGGAGATATGAAAGTACATGTGTATATGGTTGATTTGAAAGGAAAACTTGGTGATAAATATATGTTGAAGTAATTATTCAATCTGTACAAATTGTTTGTTAGATTTTTTTAGAATAATTTATAATGGTATTCTATGAATTATTTGGTCTGTTTAATAATACGATCTTGTGGTGTGTAGCTTCTTCAACCCTATATTTAATTATCATCATTCTTCTGCATATACTCCTCAAAAAATGGTACGCATATTAGGAGCAATACCTAAAAAATGTCAAAAGTTTTGTCAAACCATTTTTTGTAGATGGATGATAAACGTGATGACTTTAACTTTTCAATCGACAACTTCCCTTACTTATACAGTAATAATTCATCACCTGCATACGGAGTTAATATATCTCATTTGATTCGATACGCAACCGCATGCTCTACGTATGAACAATATCCGAATCGAGGTAATTGTTGACTCGGTTGATTCGATACGAAAAAGCATGCTATACGTACGAGCAATTTCTAAAACGAAATAATTTATCAAATGCTGACTGACGTTTTTCATACTAATTGTTAGTCCATTATTTACACACTAAATTGACAACGGATTTTTTCCGTAATTTCCCGATCATAATCATGACAAGGAGCACACGGTGAGTGTAACCAGTCGGCATCGGCACTGGATGCTTACTCTTCTGCGGTACCTGATCCCACGTCTGATAAGTTTGCTTTGCTTCTATTATGTGTTGTTTGATGGACTTTTGATCTCAAATACTGTTCGTTATCTTCATTTGTTTCGTGAATATGATTTTGTCTAGTTAAATGTGGTATTTTTAACACAATTGTTGATTGTAAAGGTATTCCACAGATCTCATAGACAAAAAGACCTGATTTTGCAAAATGCTCAAAACTAATTTTGATAGAAATTTTCCTTCGTTGACTTCTGATGCGATTCGTTTGGAAATAATGGGCTATCAAAAGCTGGGGTTTCGAATATTTTGATTCTGCTGTTATCTGATAATTGACGCTATCTAAAAATACTGCATCTGAATACTGCATAGCAAAAAAAGGAAAATGGGTGACAGGAACCACGTGTACAACAGTATACAATTGCAAGTTTTAATGTCACGAACAGCACCATATCTAACCTATAAACGTTTACCTGACTAACAAGGGAATCCCAATGTTTGCAAAAAATATGACAGACCACATTGTGACTTCATTACCTCAGGATCGCTTAAGAGGATTTCGTAAATTTTGTGAATGTTTCACAATGACGTCATCTAAAGATTAGCTATCCCTGAACTGCACTTAGTATCTTACAGGACCGTTTGCAGTTGACTACAGAATGCTGGAATTACATGTATTGCAAAAGGATTATCATGTCATTGTTCTAATCCCACAAACACATGAAATATCGACTTCAAAGATCTCAAATCAATAAAGTATGGCCACAGCAACATCACTGAACATTTTGGTTTATGTGCTTGTCCAGAATGTTTATCGGAAAGCTTGTTATAAGTTTAAGAGTGCATAGGCTTTGTTATGATCCTTAGACAGAAAACTGCCTCAGGGACGTTGAGAGATTTGGTGGTTGTAGTGTAATGATATGGAAAACGGTATTACACAACATTAAGACTGATTTGGTTCATATTCCAAGACTTTGATGGAAAAAATGCTCTAATGATGTTCTACTTTTACATGCTTTTTTTTCAATTTTGCAGAATCCCGGAGCCGTATTTCAATCTGACAATACACAGTCACATACGGCTCGTTTGACAATCATTTTCTTGCAAAGCAACAACAACCTGTATCTGCCATAGTCATTCAAATAGCCCGATTAAAACCCAACTGAGCAAGCAGTGGACAAAATGGATTGTCAGGATTTGCCGCATAGTACATATAATGTACAGTTAACAGAATGCAATTTTCAAATCTAAACATATTCAAAGATAAGGAAAATCAATGCAAAAGAAAACTAAGTATATAAATTAAAGATTTTACCTGAAACTGACAGTGTTTAAAACAAGATAAACTGATTAAACGGATTTCGATCAGTCGTTTTGATTGAAATTCGTTAGGTCTCAAACCATAAAAATTGCTCTATTAAATCACGGCCAGGAAGACGTTAAGTTCCAAGACAGTACTGTTGTCAGAAACCTTTAAAGTTAAGTACTAAAAATGGCTCGTTGTCAAGAATTTACAGGTGAGGTTATGACAAAATCCTCCCTGTGTCATTACTTGAGAAGACAGGCCGTGAGCAGTTTTTCATTTTTTTAAGTTAAATCACTTCAACCAATGTCAGAAATTGCAATGAGATCAGGACTGACATCCCGTTTGGTGTTGTATGAATTTCAGCCGTTAAAATGAAGTAATAAAAGAGGAGTTTGCGTTGGCGATATCAAACCCTGGTGAAATCAAACGTGCATTTCAATCATTTTCTTTCTGAGATGTAATTTTTTTTGTAACTGGAATATTATATATATACCAATGGGTGCAGACAATATCAAGGCATGTTATAAGTCTTTACAGAAAAAAATAGAACAAATTGAAACTGAAAATTTTGTTTTATTATAATTTATGTCCGTTGTCATGACAAGATAGGAAAATTCAGTCCGTTGTCATCGGTCCGTTATCGCTACTTTACAGTACCTATACCCTATGAAAGAGGTCGATTTTAATTTTTTTTAATTTTTATGCTTTGAAAAATTTCAAGCATGCCTTAAATAAATGGGTGAACTAATTCGTCATAAGGAACTAAACGTATGTTATTTACTATATTTCATATAATATTCAGCTTTTGATTGTCAAACATACACTGTAAGGGCTTCAGCCTTTTTCCTTAAAAAACTAAGAAATATGAACGATAATATTGTTCTCCCGCTTACCTCCAAGTCAATTTTTAAAAGTTAATATATTTGAATGATTTTCCATATTTATATTCATATTTACATGAATTTCCATAAAACATTACTTATTAGGGAAAACAAAGAGAGATAACCCTAAAATTTTGGTAAAACTCGCGTTTTTTACTATAGAAATCAACGGAGAACGAAAAATATTTTTAAAACATCTCCCCCCCCCCCCCCCCCCCCCCCCCGAAACAAAAATTCGAGCCATTTTCAGTGCTTAACTTTAAAGGTTTCTGACAAAGGTATTGTCTGAAACGTATTCCTGGCCGTGTAAATGTGTGCTTAATAGGATCTTACTATAAGTAACATACTATAACATACTTTGATCGTTTTTTGTAGTATTTCTTCCAGTAAGCATACTTTGATCGATTTTGTATGTAGTATTTCTACCAGTACATTACATCATCCTGATACTTGAACCAGTACTCTGTGAAACATGTCCCACCTATACTTTGCACTTTCATTTACTCACTGGAACCGGTATTCGGATGAGACCGTATAAACCGTACAGTATATGCTAGCACAAAAAAGATCTATTACTGCTCAGTGACCGTACCCAGCAGGCACACAACATTGAACAAACTTTAAATCAACGTTGTTTTTCTATGTTGATTCAACATTGATTTTATGTTAGAGTTTGAAAATTTGTATCAACATTGAAGTCTTAACATTGAATCAACATTGATAATCAACGTTGATTATATGTTGAAAAACAGTTGATTCAGCATTTATTCAATTATTTATTTTGGAAAGGGGGGTGTCATATAGTAATAATATACTTACTTAAAATTTCAACTGTTTTATTGCACGGTTGCTAAGAAGCACGGTTGAAGAGATAGCGACCCTCTGATAAGACAGATAACTTTCAATATCCAAAATAGTCATACTACTCAGTTTTCTTAATCAGTTTCCTGAGACCTCTGAGTAGTCAATTTGATGAGATCAAACATATGATGGAAACATTACTTTCTATTTCTTTTGCAAATTTCTTTGTAATTGTTTTATTATATTTAACAATAAAACATTTAAATCCAACATCAAATGCCTTATAAACTGAATAAGTTGTATCTTTTTAAGTACCATTTTAAAAATGTTTTCATATTTTAAGTACTAAATACAGTATTTTGATTAGAATGACATTTTTTTCACATGAAGAAATATTAAGAAGAAGGATAACTCCTCATCACAGATATATTTTTTTTCTTACAACCACATACAACATTGTTATTTTCTGACTTAGGAAACATCGCTTCATGATGTTTACTAACATGATTTAAATAGGTATAATAGTAAGTATTATTTTCATATGCACCTCATATATTATATTTAATGTTGTGGCAATAAATCGTTACTCTTTCTATTCTCTGTGTTTAATTTCTTCATTTCATGATCTACACATAAAAATCATTTCTGAAAAAATAAGCAGCGATTTATCCTTCAAACTATTTTCCATGTGGTTCTAATGTTATTGTTGTTTCTGAATTTCAAAATTAATGTTACAAATTTAAAACTCTCTAAGGTGAAATTTATAGCAGATCAATAGAGGGTCGGGACCCCGTAAATGAAAACATACGGTATATCACCATATGAAAAAAAGTATATATATTGTAAACAGTACATTTGTAAGTGTTTAATTTCCTATCAATAATTAATTATGTTACAATAATTTTCACCAAAATACATTTTATAAATTAATCATGTTACAAAACCCGAGCATTTACAAACGTTTTGTATTTTCACATGTGGTTATGAAATAGTCGCCCAGAACATCAAACCATTCCAAGGTAAGATGCAAATCTTATACGGTTCAACTTTTGATGCACCAGAAATGCATTTCGACAAATTATGTCTCTTCAATGATGCTAGTACTCCGACATGCCGAAATGTTTTCTTTAAAGAGTATTATTTTTTTAATCTTGGTGTTGAGTCCTGAGGGTTGTGTTATGCTGTCTTTTTGAATATTTTCCGGATTTCCTACTGCGTACTTTGGCAAATTCGTACCGAATTCATATTTATCATTGAATGTGTAAAATTCCTATATTTACCATCCTTGTTAGTTATAATAGTTAGTAATGATATACGGTAGTGCGAATTTGTCAAGTCTGACCTCGTTATGGTCCATCCGACACTATCAAATTATCTATCAGCGAAAAATAGGATTGGCCCGATCAGCGAAGATCCGACGTTGAATAAATGTTGGCAATTCAACTCAATTTGAATTCAATGTTGATTCAATGTTAAGTTTTCAACGTTGAAAAGTCAACGTTGAATCAATATTGTATCTAGATTTATCAACGTCTAAACCCAACTTCAACTAATATTCAACGTTTAAACAACGTTGTGTGCCTGCTGGGTAGGTGCCAAATACTGTAAACCAACTATTATTGCTATATCTTTTATTCGCTATACGCCAGTTTAGAATCAATCTGCACGATCAATTTTTGTGACTGAGGAAATATTCTCTACAAATACTAAACAAAATGATTGCTAGCGGAGATTAATATTTGCGAGTTAAAGCACATCGCGGACTCGTGAATATATTTCGCATGCTAATAAAAGTTGGTTTATACTGTAGGACAAAATTTGAGGCTCTCCACTGGCAAGTGGTGGCGTCTCCATATAAGTGAAAAATTCTCGAGAGGAACGTTTAATTCCTATTAAGATACTATTCCTCTATCTGAGTTCTTATCAGTCAGATTTTAAATTTAAATTGAAGTCTTAACATACTTCTGTTATCTCTTTTCTTTGTTAGGTGTAGTATTTCTACCAGTACATAACAAATACATGTATCATCGTTATTTAAACTAGTGCTCTTTAAAACCCCGCCTATTTATACCTTAAACTTTCATTTACTCACTAGATAATTGGCATTGGTTTCCATGGTACCCATCTTTACATCTCGAACACTCTCCAGTTAGCTCATCACATGATCCAGGTACACATCCGGGAGAACACTGATATTCACACCAGACCCCGTAATGTGGTCCGTCACAAGATTTACAGCTGCTGGACGGAGTACACTTTGTACAGGGAATACCAAGGTTGTTAGACTCACATACTGCAAGTCATATTGGATAACTTCTCAGAAAGATTTATGTTTAAAGTACCCTATATAAAATGTTTTTCTTTTCAAATCTTTCGTGTTTGTACAGAACAGTTATCTTTCTCAAAAGGTGTTTGTAACCGATACTAGTATTCATATCTTGAAATGAATGATGACGATACATTATTCATACCTTTAAGTTTAAAGTCACACAGTGTCAACCTTCCAAGACTTGTCTTTTTAACGATAATAACATCTCCGTGTAAGTTTGATTTACAGGTGATATTTACATTGCTAGTAGAAAATTCAAAGGGTAGATGTTTATAACCACAAACTTGTCGAGCGGAAGTTTCCGAAGCATTTTGCACTTCTATTGTGTAATTACCTAAAGGATTTTAAACCTAGAAATCAATAAGTTGTAAATAAAGAAATATAATGACATATATCAAACAAAACTTTTTATTGATTACCTCCTTTTAGCCGAAGATGGACACCGGCAATAGTCAGAGATTGCTTAAACTGTATTTTCCAGTACTCTCCTGTACCCTTATGTGTCACAGCACATGTTACGTCATCATCATCAAGGGGGATGTTAGGTCCATTTTGTAGAAAGGGAACACTGCTTTGTGAGACTTCATATCCAGCAAGAGAGTATGATCCTGAAAATTCACGTTTTATATTTATCAATTTTACTTTAAAATATATAAATTATTCAAAGATAGATAAGTAAAGCATTGACTAAATATCCCATTTAAATGAAATTTAAGTTGTCATCAACAATAGCGTTTTGAACTCTGTTTTTAGCATTGAGCTTCGTTTTACTATATATTCAACAAATGATTGATTGATTGATTGTTTAACGTCCCTCTCGAGAATGTTTCACTCATATGGAGACGTCACCGTATGCCGGTGAAGGGCTTCAAATTTTGACCTTTACTCGGCACTCAGGGCCATTGAGCAGTGAGGTATCTTTATCGTGCCAACACCTGCTGCTGACACGGGGCCTCGGTTTTTTAAGGTCTCATCCGAAGGACCCGCAACTTTCACTTCAAAGTGCCGAGCGCATGGCGAAGGAACAGTTGCTACCCATTTTTTATCGACTTATGTCAGTCGCGGCTGAGATTCGAACTCACGACCTCCCGATCACGGAGCGGGCGCTCTACCGACTGTAAATATAAATTTAAATTATACTCAGTATTTCATTTAATCATATATAATATCATTCTAAATAGGAACAGATTAACAAAGACTTCGTAATATATTGCAATAAAATTCATCATCATTTTATTCACATTTAAAAAAATGCAAATTTCTTCAATGTCTTAGTAAGAAAAGAATCATAAGTTATGAATATAACATATGTATAGTTATTGGTAAACCAAAAATGAACGAGATAAAATTGTGTACCTTTACAACCAAAGCGGAGGGCAGATAGAATTAGTGCATATTTAGATATCTCCATTATGGCTATCTTAATATTGTATTGATTTCCAGATATATATATACCTCATGATAATTTATTTCCGATCAGATTTATTTTGTTTTTATTACTATGTCGCTGAGAAAACCGGAAAAAAAAAAGTTTGAATTTAACATCATTAATAAAACGTTGGTTTTATTGATTATGAAAGTGGTATAATCAAACTAATACTCCTAGTTCCTTTTTAAGGAAAAGAATCTTCATAAAAGACATTTTTCTGAATACTAAAACTTATTTTGGTGAATTCTGACGTATTTGTTATTTAACTGATTAATAAAAGATTAAAAAAAAAAGATTCAGCATATTTACCATGTCACAAAATCAACAATTAAGAACTTGAATCAAGTCTATACGGAAGCCCTGGAGGGACATTGACTTACTTGTTATGACTTATTTGTTATAACTTATTTGTTTTGACTTATTTGTTTTGCGATTTTTTTGGTTAGTTCTAACTAAGTGTAGGTAAGCTATTGAGAACGATTAATTGTAGTTTTGTAGTTAAACGTACAGTATTGATGTGATTACTGAATTTTTATCTGTTAATTACTGACGCCCTAGAGGGAGACTTATTTCTTATGAATTTTGACTTATTTCAATGTGTTTTGACTTATGTCTTATGTGTTTTGACTTAGTTCTTATTATTTAACTTTGAATTCTTGTTATTTAAAATATGTTATGACAAGTTTACTTCACAAAAAGTGGCGTGAAAGATGGGGGCAACGTATAGTTTCAGAAAAAATGTCCTTGAATTTATTACTAAGACAAGATAAAATAGTAGTCATGTTCTTGTCTTCAATCATGAATCCAAACTGGAAGTTACATATAAGAATTAAGTAATAATAATATAATAATAGGAAATAAGAATTAGGTTATAACAACAAAAATAATATTTACTTTAGAAATCACAAATGTACTGGATGTTAAACTACAATTCGTCAATCAACCAGAAGTCTCTGTCGAGACTGAAGCTCTACTGGTTTGAACTTATAGCAAAGGAAGAGAAAAGTACTTAAGCAGCTGGGATTTGAAACTTTACAACAGCAATAAATAATGATCGTTGATAAAGTCTCGTTATGTTCTTAGTGTAGTCTACTTGTGTGCCAAATTATATTGAAATCAAACCAAAACTGTAGGAGGAGTAGCATTTTGAAACAATTTTACAGACATTTCTATTTTTAGTAACCACGGCAACACCGTTCATCAAAATTAAAATTCGATAAACAGAATAATGTATCTTAGTGTATTGTACTTGTGTGCCAAGTTATATTGAAATAGACCAAAACT